TAAATATTTTAAAAAAGATGATTCTGAAGTAATAAATGTATAAAATTTGTAACGTGCATTTTTATTGAGTATGGAAATAACATTGGCGCAGAGTAGTAAACAAACGAAATAGAACAAAAACAATCTAAGTATTTAAACTCCGAGTCGTCATGGCAGATTGAGGAAAGGCTCGGAAGGGAGTTGCGGTTGTGGAGCTTTTATGTTGACAGCATAAATTTGAAAGCTTGTCTTTGAAACGCACTGCCGTGACGAGGACGTCGCTGCGGTGCAACATGCGAGTGAAACATGGCCGCGAACGTGAGAACAGGTGAGTGATAACCCGTCGATGCTGTTGCGAGTTGTAGTTTTCCGATACACGAATCGAGACCGAGACGAGTGAATCACAATCAGTGTCCTTGTTCCGGAAACCAGAACGCGACGTCGCGTCCTGACGTCTTTCATTCGTCCGCGCTATTTCTCGCAATAAATGCCCGGTCGTTTCTCATCGCGGCGGCGCGGCGAACTCTGACTTTTCTCGGCCTGCCGACTCCCCACGATCTCTGCCCCGCAATCATCGACGGACGCGAGAATCGAGAGATAAAGCACGCTTATCGCTGTGAATGTTGTGATATCCGCGACGAGTAGGCGTATATCGCACATAATCGTGCGTTGTAATCGCGAAGCGACAACAGACGCATACGCACGTCTGTCCGTTCGTCCTGTTCCTCCATCTGTCAGGCATTTTATTTTGGAAAATTTTTTGTAACCGTTGTCTCTACGCTCATTCGCGCGCGTGTGCGCTTGCTTTGTGATTGTGTTGGTGCGGTGCGAAACGCGTGCGTACCAGCGTGTGCGAGGAACCGATCGTGCGTCAGAGCCAAGCTGCTTACTACCCACTCTGATTATTCTCGCCTGTCGTTACTTTCAGAAGACATGCCGATACCGACGCGCGCGGCGCCTTGTCCTCCAGGTCAGAGCACAACGCAGAGAGACCCGATCTGGAGCACCAGGTAGAGCTAGTCTTGTTTTGCAAGGTCGTCTGCTTCTTGATTGTGCATTGTGTAATAGGGATCTTACATGGGTCAATAATGTGATACTTTCCATTTGATGATACAAGCATCACTCTCTTTCTTGATATTCAGTGATTAACAAAGATAGAATGACACTTATGTCAACTTGTGTCATCATTGTCATTAAATGAAAAGCATTCAGCACCAAAAAACTGACAATAGATCTGTTTTCTAAATTAGTGTACATTTTTTAAACTTAAAGCGAGATAATTATATGTTTGATGTTTGACGAAAGCGAGAAAGAGAATTCTAGTAATTTAGTGCAAGAATAAAAAACAGGCCTGATATTATTGATCATATATATTAATATTTTCCATGTTTCCACTGAATACTTTCTGAACAGAAACTATGTATTTTGTGTGTTATCTCCGTGTTTGGATACATTGTTAAATATCACTTTGGAATGAAAAACCAATTAGTCAGGTTGTTCCTCGCCTTGGAATAAACTGCAATGTTCATGAAACATTGCATAATTTCTAATAATAGATCTGAACAGTAAACATCGTAACCCGAAACACATATGGTGCTTTCCAGCAAGAGTGATTGCGTTCAGCAAAGAAAACAGCTTTGCAATTATATAAGATTCTTTAGTATGGTTGATTTATACATTTAGAGTCATCAGTGAGGAATTCTAAAGGCAAGACCAATCATATTAAAGACTTTTACAACAGTTTTAAAGCTGTTTTTTCTGCTAAACACAGCCAGTGTAATACAGTGATCATTTCATCTTTGTTTAACATTGAAAAACAACAAGAATAATTTACAATAATAATTTACTGGATTGCAATGTATCATTTGTATTTCTTACCAGAAAACATCCTTTTATATTGATTGTGTGTGGTTTATATTGGTTGATTTAGAATATTGGCAGTGATCCAGATTCTTCATTCTCGAATATTATTATTACAGTGATATCCCTTTCTACAGAACTGATGCTTGAGAATCAAGAAATACAGATCACTGTCAGTATTCTACATCAATCCATTAATATATGATTAATAATATTTTCAGTATTTGTTGATACTAACAGTATTATTGACTGTGTAAGATCCACAATGTACATAAAATTGAGCTGAAATATAATTGTCAATAATGTTGATTGTGTAAAGTTATAAAAATATTGATGCATACTGTCAGTATGTTTCAATATTATTGATAAGATTTATATTATATTCTCTATACTTGAAATAAATGTATAATTAAGTATTGAGAAGAAAGAAAGAAAAGTCATATATGTATATAAAAATTTGACTAGAAAAGATAAATCTCTTATCTTTGAAAATGCCTATGGAAACTTCCATTTAGATTGTCAGTGTTTGGAATTTGTCTAGCTTCTGCATTATTGTGATAACGTTTGTATGCTTTCAGTAACGATATATTCGGAGGAGCTCTAACAACGCAACCTGGACAGAAAAAAAAGCCACCTCCTCGACCACCGCCTCCGAAATTTAATCGCAATTACCCACAATATCAGAAGGATCAGAAATCGAGAAAGCCAGTAAGTATTGTAATTTCTAAATTTATTATATGCTTATAGTTCTTGATAAATCTGTTCCCAATGCATGCAATAGTTTAACACGTTCACGATGACGTGACCATCCAAAAGCGTGTGAATAACCGTTATCTTACTCTGGATTATCATTAACGAAACACTTTCTAAAGGATAAGGATAGCGATATTTTTGTGAATAAAAATAATTGTAACAAAAAATATATGCTGCGCAAATATACGTAAATATACGTAAACGTAAGTTATAGATTTTTAGTGCTAGCAATAAATATAATTAAAGTACATATGCTACCATATTTTAATTGTGTATCATGATCTATCAATGTGATATCTCCGGTGGTCACGTCATTTACGAGAAACGTTCAATTGTAATATGTTATTCCTCATAAATGATTAATAGCTATATTTTTATTTTGTACGCTAGGCTAGGCCGACGGAGCTGTTGACTAATTTCTTCGGACGAAAGAAGCAAGAGAATCATTTTCCATTGCGTCCAAGTGGTCATTTACAAAACCAGATGACACAGCCCTCGAATTCAATCGCGACGGTATCTTTGATAGATCTCAGTCCACCTGGATCTCCGACATTTACAACACGCTCCAGTGATGGTGTCAGTGTAGACAGTTTTGGCAGTGACGGAAACTCCAATCCATCTGTATTCACAAGCAGCGGAAATACATCGCAAACAGAAAGTGCCTTTGAAGATGATTTTGATTTTTTCGGTATATCCACCAAGAAAATAGCACAAAATGATCCGTGGCAGACTAAAACAATAGTGCAAGATCCATTCGGACCTTTAGAGGACACTTGCTCGAACGTGTCTCAAGTCGCCGGCGGTCTCTTTCCCTTTAATTCCAACAATCGCGAAACGAACCAAGTGCCTTCCAATTTAATTACTTCTAAATCTTTCGTTACATCGATGCCCACAATAATCCGAGCGAAACCTCCTAAGCCTCCAGCACCAAAGATACCGTTTAAGAAACTCGAACCGATACCGAAGGAAACGTGTATCGACTTCGCAGTCTCGAGTAGCACAATGAACAAACCGTTGACGTTGCATTTCTCTAATGCATGGTCCAACGATGATGAAGAAAGTGATAGTCCGTCACCACCCATGCCGACGATTCCACCACCGGCATTACCTGCGAATTATTTGGCAGAACTTAGCAGTGATTTTAAAGTGAGTGTTGTAAACTTGAAGCTATATGGCTTGTATTTAAAGGAAGATAAAATGCATTTGTAATTGATACTAATTGGTTGACAATTTACAGAGAGATTCCAATGAACCTTACGGTATTGCGCTGTACGATTTCTCCGCAACTCATCCAGATGACTTAGCTTTAAAAGAAGGCGACATTGTACAATTGGTGAAGAAAGTTAATGACGATTGGTTGGAGGGAAGAATAGGAAATCGTCAAGGGATCTTCCCGGTTAATTTCATTGATATCAAAATATCTTTGGCAGATTTATCAGACAATGTGGTCACAGCCCTTTACACTTTTCCGGGAGAGAACAGCGATGACTTGTCATTTGAGGTATCAAAAATTAAGGCAAAGCAATTGAATGAAAGATTTATTATGTTTTTAACTTTTATTATTATTTTACTATTATTATTTTTAACTTTGTTTTGTTATTTCAGGAGGGAGCGAAAATTACAGTCATATCAAGGATATCGGAGGATTGGTTATACGGTGAGTATAACGGTAGAAGAGGACAATTTCCAGTAAATTATATAAATAGACTTCCACATAATATTTAAACATTTTTTTAAATAAATATTTTGTATCCAGTGTATTAACAATTTACTATTTCGAGAGTCTCCGTATTGCAAACATTATTAAGAATTATTAATTACATATTTACAAATTAATAAGAATAGTGATAAAAAGAGAAAGTGTACAAATGATTTTATGGATGTAATTTTTTATGATGTAATTTCGATCATGTACAAATCATTAAAGAAAAAGAAAATTTTTTTAGAAAATTTTACTGATAAAAAGACTGAATCATATGAGTTTTTGTCGCCGAGTTCCAATAGATATAATTTTCGAAAGTAATTGCGATATTTATCTTCAGGAAATAACATCTGCGATATATTGATGATATCTAGAATTCATTTAGCTTACTCTTTTTAAAACTTTTTAAGCCCTATTGTTTGCAATATTTTGTAAAGGACTACAAAAATCATATACAGTGAATCCCTTTTCTATCTTAATTTTATTTTGAGATTTTATGCTTGCATCTAATATTTGAGAGTTTAATTTTCACTAAATATTTTGTACATGTCTTATATTTTTCTAATAGTATAAAAAGAATATTTCTACATTTCATTTTTTATTTATTGTGTAATTGAGAATTTTTGTATATCTGCGTTTTCGAAAATTTACTTTAAATATTCTTTAAATTTCAAAATCTGTTTTGGATTTTATATGAGGACATACTTTGGCATACAATTGAAGTTTTTTTGACATATACAGAAGATAGTCATATTTAAACATAATTTAAATAAATTGTCATCATTATCTATAAATCAATCATTATATAAGATATAAAATAACAGATCTGCCAAGATTTACAAATTGTTAATACTGACGAATGTGGACAATACATTTCGATAAGATATTTCCTTCCCAAGCGTTATTTGAAGAGCTCGTTTTTTATAAACAGATTTCTAAATAATCAAATGAAAAATAATATATATAATAACAGTCTTCATTATAGATAATTTCACTGATTTAGATACTATTTTGGAATTTTTTTAGTGAGATCTAGCATAAAAACAAATTTTTTTTGGTTGTATATATTGTGTTCGAGAATCTAATGTATCTTATATATAAAGTATTCCATACAGCACAGAATTTGTAATAATATTGCTGCAAAATCTCTGCAATATCACTGCAATTTTTGTACTTTGTGCTATAAGGCTTAGGAAATTATTTGATATAATTATTTTCCCTATTTATGAACTATAAATATAAATTGAGATTCGATTTTTTTTTAAGAATAAATTATAAATTTAAAGATGATTACATTAGTATATAAATAAATACGTTGGATGTCTATATAATTGTACACATATTTTTCATCTTAGAATTTATTTCAATAAAAGTTACCAACGTGGTACAGTTGTAAATATATATTATGTGAATGCATAACTGATTGGGAGAAAGGGAGGCAAAAAGGGAGAAATGCAATTGCGTAGTTTAGATAACTATTCATTTAATCTGCCGTTAAAATGAGATGATAATTATTATTGTATATGTGTATACTTAATCATGTTCATACGCAAGTTGTGTAATTATGTTTGATTACAATTAATTTAGCATATGCATTTCGAATATTTTAAACGCATGTCAAGTCACTAGCTAAATTTTAGGAAAAACAAAATCAGCAGTAAACTTCGTATATATATATATATATATATA